AGACGCAGGCTATCAAGGCGGAGATGTCGCGCGTACAGTTCAAGGTTGACCGCAGCGTCAAGTTGCTGGATAGTTTGTCGTCGGAGAGGACGCGCTGGGAGGAGGGGAGCAAGTCGTTCGAGACGCAGATCAGCACGCTGGTGGGCGATGTGCTGGTGGCGGCCGCGTTCCTCGCCTACAGCGGTCTGTATGACCAGACCTTCAGGAAGTCGATGATGGAGGACTGGCTTCACCAGCTGCACCTTTCGGGCGTCAAGTTCAAGCAGCACAATCCCATGACCGAGTACCTCTCGACCGCCGACGAGAGGCTCGGCTGGCAGGAGAACACGCTCCCGGTCGATGACCTCTGCACGGAGAACGCCATCGTACTCAAGCGCTTCAACCGGTATCCGCTCATCATCGACCCGTCGGGCCGTGTCACCGAGTTCCTGCAGAGGGAGTGCAAGGATCGCCGGCTTACGGTTACCAGCTTCTTGGACGACTCCTTCACGAAGCAGCTCGAGAGCTCGCTCCGCTTCGGCAACCCCATCCTTATCCAGGACGCGGAGCACCTCGACCCCGTCCTCAACCATGTGCTCAACAAGGAGTACCAGAAGACGGGCGGCCGTGTCCTCATCCAGCTTGGCAAGCAACAGATCGATTTCTCGCCAAGCTTCAAGCTCTACCTGTCGACACGGGATCCGTCGGCCACCTTTGCTCCGGATATTTGCAGTCGCACGACGTTTGTCAACTTTACCGTCACGCAGAGCAGTTTGCAGACGCAGTCCCTGGCCGAGGTGCTCAAGTCGGAGCGTCCGGACGTGGACGAGCGGCGCTCCAACCTCATCAAACTGCAGGGCGAGTTCAAGGTCCACCTCCGGCAGCTCGAGAAGCGGCTCCTTCAGGCACTCAACGAGTCGCGCGGCAACATTCTCGACGACGACAACGTCATCGAGACTCTCGAGACGCTCAAGACGGAGGCGGCCGAGATTTCGACCAAGATGAGCAACACCGAGGGCGTCATGGCCGAGGTTGAGCAGATCACGCTCCAGTACAATGTCATTGCCCGGTCGTGCAGCGCCGTGTTCGCCGTGCTGGAGCAGCTGCACTACCTCAACCACTTCTACCAGTTCTCGCTGCAGTACTTCCTCGACATCTTCCACTCTGTCCTGCACGGCAACCCGCATCTGGCCGGCGAGATGAACCACAACGTGCGCCGCGACATCATCGTCAAGGATCTATTTGTGACGACGTTCAAGCGCACGGCGCTGGGCCTGCTGCAGAAGGACCGCGTCACGCTGGCGATGCTGCTTGCCCAGGCGTCGCCGTACAAGATGGATAAGGGCTTGCTGGATGTGATCCTGGACGAGCGGGTCGAAGGCAAGGATGTCTCTTCCGACACGGCGGGCAAGGACGAGGCGTTTGCGCGCGCGAGGCGGATCGCGGCGCTCAAGGAGAAGCTCGATGCCGTTCCGGATGCAGGGTGGGATAAGTTCTTCACCGAGGAACTGGCCGAGAACTTTGTGCCCAAGGTGTGGGACGACAAGGCTGAGCCTGCTGACCAGGCCCTTGTGTCGCTGCTTCTCGTCAAGCTCTTCCGCCTCGACCGGTTCGTCCCGGCTGCGGAGCGCTTCGTCACGCTCGTGTTCGGGTCCGACCTCTTTGACATTGTCGAGGACCTCAAGCAGACAGTCGACCAGGTCTCGGCCACGCGCCCCATCGCGCTCGTCTCGTCGCCCGGCTTCGACGCCTCGTACAAGGTCGACAGCCTCGTCGAGCGAATGCGCGTCCGGTGCACCAACATCGCCATGGGCTCCAACGAAGGGCTGGCCAGCGCCGACAAGGCCATCGCCAACGCGGCGCAGACGGGGTCGTGGGTGCTCATCAAGAATGTCCACCTGGCGCCCACGTGGCTGCAGAGCCTCGAGAAGCGCATGGAGTCGCTGAATCCCAACAGGGACTTCCGGCTGTTCCTGTCGATGGAGTCATCGCCCAAGATCCCGGTCAACCTGCTGCGCGCCTCGCGCGTGCTCATGTACGAGCAGCCCGCCGGCGTCAGGGCTAACATGAAGGACTCGATGTCGTCGCTGTCGACCAGGTCGGTCAAGAGCCCCGTCGAGCGGACGAGGCTGTATCTGCTGCTGTCGTTCCTGCATGCGGTGGTGCAGGAAAGGCTGCGGTATGCGCCCAACCTGGGCTGGAAGGGGTTCTGGGAGTTCAATGATGCCGATGTGAGTTTTTGACCACCCAGCATTGCTCATCTTGTGTGAACGGCTGCTAATCGAGGTAACTTTAGTACGAATGCTGCGCCTTTGTCATAGACACGTGGATCGACGCGACGGCGCAGAACCGCACCAACATAGCCCCGGCCAACATACCCTGGGACATGATCCGCTACCTGGTGACGGAAACCTACGGCGGCAAGATCGATGACGAGGCCGACTTTAGGGTGCTCGACAACCTGGTGCACACCTTCCTCACGCCGGCGGCGTTTGACATTGGCCACAAGCTGGTCGCGGCGCCGTCGTCATCTGAGCAGGTAGGCAACGGCGGCGGCGCGGACTCGGCCGAGCTGGTGGTGCCGGCCGGCACGTCGCTGCAGGAGTTTATGGGGTGGATCCAGAGGCTGCCGGAGCGCGAGCCGCCTACGTATCTGGGGCTGCCGGCGAACGCGGAGAAGCTGTTGCTTGTTGGGCTGGGGAGGAGCCTGATTGGGAATTTGAAGAAGGTGACGGATTTGTTGGATGAGGGTGAGGCTTTGGTGACGGAGGTGGAGGTGTAAGGGAAGAAGGGGGGTCTGTGTTTGATTGGGGGGGGCGGGGTTGAATGGGGGTGGTTGTGAATCTGGTGTACACTGTCTTGGTCGATGAGTTGTTTTTTATCTGTCTTGAGTTGTTGGTTCATAGATGGTTAGAGGAGAGGGATATGGTTGTTGAGGCGGGTAGGTTGGTCGGAATACCCCGAGTTGTAGAGCCGAGATGGCGGCCTGTTTTGTCAATCAGCAGATCGTTTACACACCTGAAGAGTAGTGGTCACTGATGTTTGTGAACCGGTGACCGTTGGCCGGGTTTAAATGAGAGATGAAGGTGTTTTGAATTATCTGAGGTACCTTACCTTAGTCCTGCCATCATCTTAGGTTCCGTTGCATGAAAGGCAAAACCTAAGCTGTAAGGAAATGATGGCCAGGGGCTGGTCCACTGAGATTATTGTCTTTTACAGCGTCTGGGTGCTTGAGTGCAGTGAGTGGTTCCAGGGGCTGGGTGCTGGCCGCCCAGGCTCGCTCACAGCAAAGACAGCGGATCAATTTCTGCCAAGTCGGCTGCCGCGGATTTTGGGAGCATTCCAGTTGACTCACTCAAGTCACTTCATCTGAAAACCGACCAATTCAAGGAGGATAAGTCGCTCACTCACTTCGTGCACTCCGAGATAGTAGTTTTCATGAAACGTGTCTCTTTCAGCGCCGACGCCAGCGCATAGTTGTGGTATCGGAATCGACATAAAGAGCAGTATCAAATTAAAGAGAAGGATTGCCCCATCAACAAATCAAGACCTCACAACTCAACTCTCGGCTCACCATGGCCTTCACGATGCATTCCCACTCGGGCCAATTCTGCCCCGGCCACGCCAAAGACCAGCTCGAGGACATCATCCTCCACGCCATCAAGGTCGGCTACAAAACGATCGGCCTGACCGAGCACATGCCGCGCACCGACCTCTCCGATCTCTACCCAGAAGAGGTAAGCAGCATCACCATCAACCCAGCACCCCCTTTCCAGTGAATGAACCAGACCTGGGATTCACCACCGGATAAAAAATAAAAAAACACAACAGCTCCTGCCCTCCCCCGAATCCTCCCTCGCGGCCCTCATGCCCCGCCACGAAGCCTACCTCGCCGAAGCCGCCCGGCTCCAAGCAAAATACTCCCCGCAGATCCACATCCTGATCGGCTTCGAGGGCGAGTGGATCCGCCCGGCGGCCTATGCGCCCCTCATCCGCTCGCTGGCCGCCCACCCGTCCGTCGACTACTTTATCGGCTCGCTGCACCACGCGCGCGGGGTGCCCATCGACTTTGACGCGGCGCTGTACGCGCGGGCGGTGGCGGCGTGCGGCGGCGGGGACGAGAGGGGGTTGTTCGAGGCGTATTTCGACGAGCAGTTTGACATGCTGCGGGCGGTGCGGCCGAGGGTGGTGGGGCATTTTGATCTGGTGAGGTTGTTTAGTGCCGAGCCGGGGCGGGAGATGCGGGGGGAGGGATTTGGGTGGGAGGGGGTGTGGGGGAGGGTGGTGAGGAATCTGGAGTTTGTGAGGGGGTATGGCGGGTGGTTGGAGTGTAATACCAGCGGGCTGAGGAAGGGGCTGGCCGAGGCGTATCCCAAGAGGGAGATTGCCGAGGCGTGGGTGCGGATGGGCGGGCGGTTTACCTTCTCGGATGACAGCCATGGGATTGCGCAGGTCGCGACGAACTATGCGAGGGGGCTGGACTATCTGGAGGGATTGGGGGTGCGCGAGGTGTGGACGCTGGAGAGGAGGCAGCCCGAGGTTGAGGGCGGGAAGGGGGAGTTGGTTGAGAAGGCTGTGTCGATAGACGAGTTCAGGGCGAGCCTGAAGCTGGAGCCGTGATGGAAGAGAGAAGATTTGCCAGTTTTGTTCTAGATCATGGGTCTCTTGACTCTCTGGTTCTATGCGTTAGACTTGGAATCGAACTGTGCATACAGCAAGGCATGCAGCTCCAAACTAGTGGTTGCCCTAGTTACTCAGGCCACGAGTATGTCTTTGGGGTGAATCGAGATGACCGACTTGTCAAAACCGGCTGACGTCTCAAAACTCGGGATTCGTGTATTTCTCTCCATTTTCTTAGGTCCTAGCAGCAGATATATATAACCTTACAATGAGATTACTTGTATGCGTTCCATGGAGCGGCTTGATTTTGCTGGTTAATACTAGGATGCTCGGCAATTTATGAGATATGAATGATTTCGTTCGGGGTGGGTGTACTAGGAAGAAAGAAAAAGGTCAAAAAGCGACCCGGATGGGACTCGAACCCACAACCTCAGTCTGATTCTCCTGTACTCTGGGATGATTAGGAGGACCACACGCTACCATTACGCCACCGGGCCGATGATTGAATATGAACCAGAATCTCCAAGTTTAACTTATCAATGCTGTTTCTGACAGTGTAATCGATATGACAGCCTTCTTGGCTGGCTTGAATGAGAACGATCCAACCTCTCTTCCATGATTCCCCCCCTTCTGCATTCTTGCTCTACTAATGTTGAGGAAGTCGATCGACACCGAGAACGAGAGGGTGGAGAATGGTGATGGCTGCCGCCGGCCCTCTTCACCTCCATACCCTTGACAGCCAGGTAAACCAGCTATTCCCTGCACCTGCGCGACCATGTCCGTCTCTGTCCCAGGCGGCGTCGGCCTCAAACCCGATGCAGGTGGCTGTCGAGTAATCGCCATCATGGCTGATGCTCACCCTGGCCAACTGATCCATACCTCCACTTCCACTCGGGGCTTTGATCACAACGACGGGCGCATTCTGATTCCACACCGCGGGGTTCCGCAACACACGCCCGTGCTCTATTGGCGGCGGTCTCGTCAACTGCTGGTTCTCGGGCCACGTCAAGACGACAATGTCGTGGAATACCAGGGAGCGGTGCGGATGCGCCTTGAAGGCCGCCTCTTTGGCCGCGAACCTGCAGCCGGCGTCAGGGGCGCTCCGTACCTTCGCAAGCTGTATGAAACGTACCTTCCGGCCATAAAGTAAGACGCGTTCTTGTACAAAGTACATTCGTTCTGGTCCGAAAACCCATCTCTCCCGGCTGCAGTCGTCTCTGGGTCCCAACGGACGTCGTCCTCATTCGCGATGGCCGGCTGCTCTCTGACCCCATGCGGCCCCTCCCGCCGCCTGTCACCCCTCAGGGCCCTGAGGGCCTGCATGCGCTCGTCTGCGCTGGGATCGGTCCCAGCCAGCTTAGCGGCCGTCCTGTTGGAGGCGATTTCTAGGATTTTGTGGACGGATGGCCTCGCCCTGGTCAGCTCCTTGGGGGTCAGCACTCGCCGGATGAAGCGCGCGCAGTGCTGGCCGCGCAGCAAGCGCATGATGCGCTTCACGTTGCAGATGTCGGTGCCAACATGTATTGGGTATGGGAAGGGGAGTGGTGGCGGCATTGTGTTTTTTATTTATTTATTTGAAGACGGAAGGAGAGAGCGAGCTTGAGCTCATCATCAGACGATGGAACGGAAGTCCAGGATGTTGAAAGAAAAAGAGATTAATTCAGCCGACGCTAAACCACACAGGGCATCGCGAGCAACTTGAAGCACAGCGATGTCACATAGTTATTTATCGATAAGTTCATTTTGCTGACCGCCAACAACACTGGTCAAGAAACAGCCACGGTCGAAAGCACTGAAAAATGGCCAGCGCAGATGCTACATTACATACAGACCGAATCTCGACTTGTCCCAAGGGATTCATCCCACAAAATTCAGACTGTGATTCCCTCCACCATGATTAAGTCCAACCCCATGACAAGCAAACAGTCCGAACTCGAGCCCAACTCCCTGCTCTTCCTCGTCACCAAAGGAACCCGGGTATCCTCCACCGTCTCATCCTTCCCACAGCCAAACAGCCAAACAACCACCCGAACCGCCCCCCCCCCCCCC